CTCTCCTCTCCTCTCCTTTTTCTTTCCTGGCACTGTGTGGGGATTTTCTCTGTATTTTAAATCTTACACAGCACGCTTGAAAACCAGGATGTCCCTTTCATCAACCCTGATCAGTGGGACTCCCCAGGAGTTGTGCAAACAGTTGCGCATCCCTGCTCTAAAACACCTCACCCCATGAGAAGATTCTGCTCTGGGCTCTTAGCAATTCCTTGCAGATGTCCAAGTGTTGCAAGTCTTCGCAACTTGTTCGCAGATCTGAAATATTTCTAGAGCAATACTTGGTGTCAACAACAGAAAGCACCAGATTTGCTTAAAGCAATTAGGGGTTGTTGGTTTTTTTGTGTTTGTGTGGGGAGCTCTATAATTGGTCCTAATGACTAGCCTTAATGATGAGGCCAGATGGTTAGATCATAAATGTAAAAAGCAGAGCTATAATCTCTGGAAGTTGAGCCAGGCAACTGACTAATTTTCTTGCCGATTTGAAGTTTTGCTGCTTATCCAAGTAGCTTTTCCTGTCCAAACAAGTTGGTTAGGGGAGTGTAGAAAGTTAGCACCTGGCCCTCTCCTAGAGGAATGAAATATGTTGAGGAATATTAAAAAGGCAGAATATTATATTTCCCGGAATAAGAAGTTATTTTTTACAGGGAGAAAGCAGCCCCCATCTTCCCTAATAGCCCTCAGCAGATGTCAGCACTTAAGAGATAGATAGATCTATGCATAGGCAAAGCAAACACTGCAGGCAGAAATCCATTCAAGGCAGGATGTTTTGAAATTCCCTGCAGTGAAGTTTGAACAAAGGCAGAGTTGATAGGATTAGCCCTCACTCCAGAGCCAAACCAGCACAAAGTTCATGATTAAGCCATCATAGGAATTGCCCAACACCCTCTCAGAACACAAGCCCCTTCACTGCATCATCTCAGCAGTCCAAACTTCAACCAAACCTGGGAGCTCAGCCAATCTATAAAGCCAGCTATGACCCCTACATAACCTCTACAACAGCCAATAGAATACATGTTCTTGCACAGGAACAGGAAGCTCAAGTGCAAAGTCCAAGAGAAGGTATAAAAAAAACCCCACACTCAACTCCATGGGGTCAGCTGCACCAGAACCACAAACATGTGGTCCTGTCCATCAATAAATGGACCTTCTTTCCAATCAGCCCCCAGCCTCCATTTTGTCCCCATTGCCTTTTGCCCGGCTTGTGTAATGACCCAAAGGGGCATGGCACAAAGACAACACAGTCAGATAAGCAATAAGAGTCCCTTTATTAGCTCCAACTTTGCCCCCAATGTCCTGTTTACCTTCTGGCTGGAGAAAAATTCTCCCAGGGAGAGCGTTTGACTGCAGAAAATTAAGTCCAAAACATGAGCAACACAAACTGTTACTTAATTAGTTTGGCAGGGCAAAAGCAAGAATCTCAGGCTTGAAGGCACGGCAAAACTCACATGGTTGGGAAGACATCAGGAGCACAGATGAGCCATGAGAATACAGGATACAGTCACATTTGCTCCCAGCAGCTCCTGCACTCAGCTTGCATCTCTTTTAAACTTTCATTCCCAGCTGTGGCTAATGAAGGGACTCAGGGCTCTTTCCTCCCCCGTAAGCCACACAACCCACATTGCTCCCTTCTCCGTTCCTCCCTGCATGGCCTAGGATGAAGAGGAGGTGGGCCTGGGTCTTCCTCTAAACTCCCTCTCCCTTGTTCTACCTCTCTCCTGCTCTGCCCAGCTGGACTTTGCCCTTCCCCAGTTTCCTCCACAGCCAACAGAGCCACACTCCCGCTCCCTATCAGCTGTTCATCTTCCTCCTCAGATTCAGACTCCAACAGGGGCATGACAGCTTGGAACTGAACCAGATGGATAGAGAGTTGTTGGAATGTGCCAACTCTTAACATTATTGTTGTGTGTTATTGACCCATTAAGAGGCAACAACAAGAAAATAAGTCCAGTTGAATTGACTCAACTTCCAGATCCTTCTTCTTGGTTGATTGAGAACCTTCATCGAAATAGCTATAATGCTTCATTCTGAGCACTTTCTAAACAGTGCACCTGTTTTTATGAGCATGGTGTGAGGGAAGGAAGGAGATTGATGATCACACTAGAGAGTGGGATTGTGCAGTTGTGGCCACTGCCTTAATTTTTTGGACTCCCTGAAGGAAGACGGGAAGGAAGAAAAACATGGATGCTGCCACAACTTGACAACATACTTAATATTCCATTCTACTGAGCAGACAAGTTTGCATTCTGGTAGTACTGTATAATGAATCATTTGTTTTCATATTTCACTCACCGTCACACAGGAGTTTGGCTTCATTCGGATGTTGGGGGGGAATCTAAAAATGGCTGTTGGGTGGCCATTCATATTCTGCTGAAGAGTATAATCTCCAATGCTTTCTTCTTTATCAGAGGAATTATTGATTATTTTCACATAATGGCCACTAAAATGAACGTCAGTAATTTTAAGATTCCCAACACTATTTTAAAAAAAGGAACAAAACTTGGTTAGACAATCCAGCCATATTGGGGATTCTCTCTCTCTCTCTCTTTCTCTCTCTTGTCTGTCTGTCTCCATATACCTCTCTCTTTCTGTCATTTTTCTATCATCTCTGATTCTATCATCTATCTATCTATCTATCTATCTATCTATCATCTATCTATCTATCTATCTATCTATCTATCTATCTATCTATCTATCTATCATCTATCCTCTTTCTTTCTCTTTCTTTCTTTCTTTCTTTCTTTCTTTCTTTCTTTCTTTCTTTCTTTCTTTCTTTCTTTCTTTCTTTCTTTCTTTCTTTCTAAATCTATCTATCTGTCTGTCTGTCTTCTTTCTTTCTTTCTTTCTTTCTATCTATGTCTTCTTTCTTTCTTTCTTTCTTCCTTCCTTCCTTCCTTCCTTCCTTCCTTCCTTCCTTCCTTCCTTCCTTCCTTCCTTCCTTCCTTCCTTTCTCTCTCTCTCTCTCTCTCTCTCTCCATCCATCCATCCATCCATCTTTCTTTCTTTAATGACCCTGTTAATCCCTTGCACTGTGATAGAGTTGGGATGACTGAATGGAGTTGAGTGTTTACTGGATGGATACCCTTCCTGACACCAATGCAGTGTTCACAGCAGACAATTACTCATTGCGCCCAAAGAGAGAGAAATATAGATAGAATTCTTCATTGTAGAATTCTTATAGAATATACCTGCCGTTACCTAGGATCAAACTCACAGCCTCCTGATTGTGAGGTGACCCTAACCCTAATCCTAATCTCACTGAGATTATCTATATAACTATAGAAAAGCAAAATACACTCAACCACCAAATCTAAATGGTTTTACTTAGGGTTTTGTTTTTTGTTTTTGTTTTTGAAACAAGAACGGTATTCCACAACTACCTGGATGATGACGAACTGTAGTACTCGGCTGGAATTCGGGACCGTCCTGCTTTCTCCATCAGTTCATTACTGATCTTCTTAGTGTCACCAAACAATGTTCTCATATAGTCCTGACCTTTTCCGAGTTCTTCTTTATCAAAGGTGTCAGAGCAAGAAAGGTACTGTTTTTGTAGTAGAGAGCTGTTGGTGCTGGGAGCAGCTAAATCAAAGTGAATGAATGAAGAAATGAATGGAAACTCATCAAGGAGAGATCCAACCTAGAACTAAGGAGAAACTTCCTAGCAGTGAGAACAATTAATCAGAGGAACTGCTTGCCACCAGAAGTTGTGGCCGCTTCATTACTGGAAGTTTTTAAGAAGAGGTTGGACAGCCATTTGTCTGGAATGCTATAGGGTCTCCTGCTTGAGCAGGGGGCTTGACTAGAAGACCTCCAAGGTCCCTTCCAACTCTGTTATTCTGAATGAATGAGTGAATGAGTGAATGAGTGAACGAATGAGTGAATGAGTGAATGAATGAGTGAATGAGTGAATGAGTGAA